CGAAGACACAGACAATAAATAAAGGGACCCCGTCAAAAAGGATTGCTCCCCGATGACGCAGTCGAGCTAGGATTACATCCACGAGGTACCATGCTCATTGCAGCAGCCCAGAGAGAAGAACAGCAGCCGATCTATACACAAAAAAGAACTAGTCCAGCTTAGGTTAGGCTTTCCGACCAACCCTTTGCTTTCCAACCTCAGTTGGCAGAAGTTTGGACTGAAGGCACGAAGGCTCATTTCTCTGCCATAATCCACAATTTGGGATTCCTCCTCAGCACACACTCCTCTCCTCCACTCAGTGCTGGGGTAGTCTCCATCAGCTCTGGAGTACTAACGGTGCCGTGATTTCTTTGGCACCATGGGCGGTGGCTGGAGAGTCATCGTCTCTATGTTTTGCTCTGGCTGGAATACAACAGAGGCAGCAGATTAACTCCTTGAATCAGTGACAAGCTTCAAGAGCTAGAAAAGCTTCAAGAGCTAGAAGAGCTGTGGCCAGGCTTGATCAGGAGTGGCTGCAAAGGTTGCCAGGGTGCCCAAAGCTCTTCTCCTGGGAGACAAGCCCATCCTCCCCAAGTCCCAAATGCTGGTCGGTGTATGGGTGTGCTCTAGCAGACAAGGTTCTTTGGGTCGATGTGCTATCTTTTATTAGACCGACTAAATAGTTGGGAAAAGTCTTCTTTGCAAGCTTTCGGGTACAAACACCCATCTTCAGGCACAGGGAGAGTCTGCTGGTGCTTTGTGTCCTGTGTGTGCTCTGCCCACCCCTCAAAGCCAATGACTCTACCGCACTCCTCTATGGGAGGAAGTTTGGCCTGAATACTCCAAGGTGTTTGGGAACTTAATTGACATTCAAATGAATGAGAAGAGGTACAAAACCTTGGAGAGCTGGCTTTTAGCTCAGGCTGTAGAGGCTTCTGTTCTCAGCCCCAGAGGCTGGTGGTTCAAGGCTCAAAGAGGATGGGTTCCTCAGCTCATTCATATTTTAATTGGCAAAATGGTCTGTGGAACCTGAGTGTGAAGCCTGTGGGTTGGAGACCGAGCTGTTTGTTACCCTGCTCGGCTTTGAATCACGCCAGTCCTTTGTGGGGAGGAGAGGAGGCAGATCTCCTAGGCAGGAGGCAAATGAGCCTCGGGAGGGAGGAGGAGCGTGTGTGATCAGGAAAGTCCCTGGGTGAGACGGGGGCACCCACATCACTGCCACCACCACCACCACCAAGGCAATGGAGGCCTACTGGAGAAATATCTGACAAGTACCTTCTGTAGGTGGAAGAGGCATTTTTCATAATCCTCTGCAGTGGAACAAGTGATGAGGATGGGCTCCATCAGGCTTCCTGCAGAGAAAGCGAGGAGTTGGGTGTAGGAACAATACACAAGCTTTGTCACAGCCCAGAGGTTACCAGCCTGCACCAGGATGCGGACCCTAGGTTCATCCTAGCAGGCAAAGGGTTAACCTCCCCATAGGCACCCAGCTCTGATCTTCCCCAGGTGTTCAGGGCAGGGCAATGAGGCAGGATTGGAGGGATTGGCCCAATTAGGGATTGCAGGAGACTATAACATCCTCCTAGCCAGCAGCATAAGGAGGGTGCTGCTGTGTGCCTATACACAGACATATGTTGGGGCAAAAAAAAGGAAGAGACTGCTATATAGCTCAAGTGTCTAGTGATGAAGAAAGAACAGGACTCAGCTGTGATCAATAGGGAGAGGGACACGTGTTGATTTACTAGCTAAATGCAGGGGTTGCTAGCTGATTGCAGGTTTACCTTCCTACTGCTCTAGGGGGTTGGTTGTAGCCTGAAATGCAAGGGCATTTTTACAGATTCACACGAGTTTGCTCTCTTGCTCTGGGCAGGAAAGATTGCTAGGGTCGAATAACCCCAGCAAGGTGCGCGTCTAGTCTCTCTTTGCAAAGGGGTCCTCTAATCTGGGTCTGGGCTAGGTAGTCATAGAGGTGGATGACTCCCCTGCATTGGAGAGAGCTTGGTGATATAGCATATGGTCAACCCCATGCAAGCTCCAGGGTAAGCTACTCAGCTCCTTGCTGCCTGCTTCTCTCCACCATACCTGTAACTTCAAACTGCAGCCTCCCCAGCAGAGCAGATTTCTCCTTTGCCTGGATGCCATGTAAGGGGAGTTTTCCCTTCAGAAAGAAAGAGGAAAATGTGTGTAGGATTAGGGCAGCACTCCTTTGAATAAGCTGTGAGCTCTCCTGCAGTGCTTCTCATTGGGAAGCAGCAGAAGGCTGGTAGCTAGGCCTGGCACTTGTGTGTAGTAGCACAGTTAGGGAGGACCCAATGCAAGCAGGAAATATGCCATCTTATAGGGCATCTGCTTTGATGTTTCTTAAGCACGCTCTTGCCCTGTGGGTACCTCGAACCATAGACTAGCTGGGAGAAGGAGGTCAGAAGGCATTCAATACAACACCTTGATTTCCAAGTACTCTGACAGCTGGAACTGGAGGAGAAGGGGCACAGAGTCATTTCATATCCCTAGCATCTGCCTGCCACGTTTGGGTGGTTATTAAATTCCCCCTTAACAACTCTTATAACAAGCTAGCAAGACTCTTTGATCTTTGTTTCCATCAGTCCCTCCACACACATCTGTATGTACCTCGTATGCAATTCCTGTTCTCTCTCTGTCTACGGAGAGGAAAACCAGGTTTTCTGGAAACAAGACCAGCAGCCTCTCTTCAAAGTCCTGAAGAAAAGAGGATGGGAGCACAGCCGTTAATTTTTTTCCCCCCAGAATATCGGTCTCGGCTGAAGGCAAACCCTGCAGTTACGTGGGCATGGAGGGATACCAGAACTCAGAGCCATTTTCTAGCAATCTGTGACAGTCAGTCTAATCACACCTCCCACAAGTAATTTTCCCTTGTGTTTGTTGTATGGAAAATATATAGTCATGGGACTGTAAGTGTGAAGGAAGATATGCAAGGCATGAATGATTAGGAAATTGGCCAGTGTTAAAACCTACTGTGTGGGTCTAGCCACCTGTTAGAGCATATCACTTAATGTGCTTCTGTTGGTTGCCCATCTCATATACATTGGGGTGTTTGAAGGCATCGCCAGCAGTAGTTACTATATAGGCACAAAGGAAGGCACCTGCGTGATTTCATAGACATTAGGGCTGGAAGGGACCTCAAAAGATCATCGAGTCCAGCCCCCTGCCCCAGGGGCAGGAAGTCAGTAGGGGTCATAGGATCCCAGCAAGAGTCTTATGGGACTCTAATGTTTCAGGGTCACACTGGTTTTCTCGTAGTGTGTGTGTGTGTGTGTGTGTGTGTGTGTGTGTGTGTGTGCGTGCGTGCGTTCGTGGCCTAGTGATATGTGTTTCAATATCCACACGTGTAGCTATGGCTCACAGAGCTGCAACAGGCTGCCTCGTGCAGTCGCCCCATGTGAGCCCCAACCCCAAGTGACTCCGATCCTCCTGGGGCCTTCTACGAGGTTTAGGTGCAGCTGTGCTGTACGTTACCCCCATGCAGGCATTAGCCACTTGCACCATGGCCACGTAGTGTATCCTCCCCAGGTGCTGGATGGGAGTCCCTTCCCACTTCAGAATGGGGCTGCACAGCAGGTGCTTCATCAGCTCCCGTTTCTTCCACTGCTCATCACAAGGCACCTTTTTTGGAGACAGATCACAGCACATTTCAGAGTGGAAAAGCACTGAGCATGTGGCAACTGCTTATAGGTTTGAAGAGCTCAGAAGAATGGCCTGTTGGTGAGGGCATTAGTTTAGGAATTGGGAGACCAAGAGTTAAGTCCTAATCTGCCATGCATTTCCTGTATCACTTGGGGGGAGTCATTTAGCCTCAGTTCCCATCTGTACAATGGGCATAATAGCACTGCTGTCTACCTCTCAGGGGTGTTGTCTGAATAAATACAGCACAGGCAGTGAAGAACTGCAATTGGTGAGAATATAAATCCCTGGGGTAAAGGTTTCATGCGGTGTTAAACCCTTCTTTTTCCCCCCAACCCCTCAAGTCTTCAGAGGGATGTTTCTTGCAGTGCAAGACTCTGCTTTGGTCCAGCTACGTTAACAGGCTTGATCTGAATGAGACCTTTGAGCTTTGTCTTCTGATGCAGGCCGGCCTCTAAAAGGCATGAGTGCAGCTTGGGTAGGCCCAGCCGAGCCAGACTTACCTTTGCTAGCCTGCCAGCAGCATAGCCTCCAAAGCACGTTGCTCCATATGGCCTAGCTGCCTGACCTGGCACCCTGAGTCCTAGTGAGTTTTGTTTTCTATGCTGTGCAGTGTGTTAAAGCTAACTCAGGTCCACACTAGCAGAACTGCACTTCTGGATTGTAATGGAAACAGGCCCTAAATGACACGGAGAATAAGCTTATATGTGCTCTTCCCTCCACTCTCCCCCCCTCCAGCCTCTTTAGAGAGGTTTGCAAAAAAATCCCCTCGCGTCAAGTCCCTCTCACACCAACCAAGCACCTGCTCCCTTTTCCCTTGTTCTGTTCAATCCAGGAGGCAAAGGGGCAGGGGGGTGGAAAGGGGAGAGACCCCCAGGACACAGCCTCATGGCAGAGTCATAAGGATGGTAGGATCAGCCACGGGGTTGCTTGGACGTGCATATGGGGCAGGAGGGTGAGACTTTGTGATAGATAAGTCAGGGTGAAAAAGCTACTCTCCATTGAGTACTGCAGTGCAGGCGAGCTGGTGAGTAGGCGTGTGGAAGAAGAGGCATCTGAACCAAACTTTTAGAAAGTTGGGCTCGAGGCCAGAGTGAAGGACCAGGCTGGTTCGTCCCTGAAACTTTCCTGGTCAGAAAGTGCAGGACAAAATGTGCAGGGTAGAAGATGGCGGAAAGAAGATAAGAAGATTGAAGATTAAGATGACTGAGAGCATTAAGCTCTCCCAGGCTTCCTTAGCATTACAATGAAATGCATGAACGTCAACTTCAATGTAATCCTGCCCTCTGGTGACACGAGACAATACTTCACTCCGTCACTCGAGGACATGTATAGGGACAGGTCAGCACACGCCAAAGATCAAGTCTTCCTTTTGTGACAGTAACGGATAGGGAAGGCGAATTTCTGACATGATTAATCATTTCCCCACAGCTTGTCAATCACAGCACAGCCCTTTAGGGCTCCAGAAAATCAGTGTTTTTGCAGAATGCCTTCCTGTGCATGGATCAATTATCAAAACTACATGCCAGTAGTAAAGCAGACCATGTAGCAGGCTTTTACGTTGTACTTATAAGAGATCTCCAGTGTCCTCCGCTTTATACACTGGATGATTGCATGAGATCTTATCTCCCTCAAGTGTCGGGCTCCAGCCACCCGACTCTTTCAACCTAATGGGTTTCACTCTGGCAGCAAAGTCTCATGGTGGTAAGGATGATTCTGGCTAAGGCCAGGTACAGACATTACACTTTTACAGTATAAGTGATCCAAAAGTGGTCTATACCTGTAACAGAAGAGAAGCTCGGCACACAAAACCAGTCTATGCATGTAACAGGCCAGAAGTTCAGCTCACATAGACTGGTTTAAAGGGGAAAGCCCAGTCTAAGATTTATCTCCCTGCACCAAAGGGCGAATGTGTTCTGTTTGCTACCAATTGAAATTACACCGCTTACATGACACCACGTAACTTAAATTGATTCTGCTTCATGCTTTTTGAACCTCTGTCCCCAGCCATAGCGTCTTCATGAGTGGTATTTACTCCACCCTGGGAATACGCAAAGGACTCCAGTCTCTCTACCGCTGTTTTTGCTCCAGCCCCATTCACCCTGGAATAGCACCCCTCCGGGGTGGACTCACCAGAAAAGGAATATTGCTGCTGGGGCTGGGCGGACACTGAGCATTTGCCATCTTGATTTGGTGCTGCATGCTGAAAACCCAGATGTGGAATTCAGCTGGGGCGAGGCACGAGATGATCCTGGACTCTATCATGGGCCCTGTGCAAAGAAACACACAGCTCTGGGATCTGAGGAAGTAGAACAAAGGAAAGTCTTTGAAGCCGATAAGCAGATTCCTCCTGGGTGCTCCTTATTCCAAGAGCTGGAAGCCAACCTGCTGGCAGGCTTTTCCTCTGGGATCACATCTGAATCTAAGGATGAAGCAAACTCATGTGTTTTGTGGTGGTGGGCACTGAGCTGGTCTCTGCCCGGTCCTACGTGCAGAGACATTGCATCTGACTTGTGGGCTCGTCTCCCTCGGACAGAAATTCAGGAGGATCGACCGTTTGGTCTGCCTCGAGTGGGAACTGCAAGGGGAGATCCCACTTGGTCAGCCTTCTGCAGGTGCCTGTGGACTGTAGGGGAAAGGCTTACCGGTGATTTCAAACATGCCGCTGCCATCCCTCTGCACTTCTCTGACGTTCATTCCAGCAAGAGGAAGCAGGCCCTGGATGGAGGGGATCCTGGTTAGAAAGCAATCGTGTGAATAACCTCTCTCCCTGTCTTCTCTTGTTCCCTCTGGCACGTTCTACTCTCTTCTACCCCAGCATTTCCCCAACCTTTGGATGGCTACCCTTATTCATGACAATAAAAACAGCTGGGCAGCTTCTTTGATGGGAGGGCCCAGGGTGGGTGGCAGCTTAGTAGAGCTAGGATCCATTTCCACTTATGCCTCTGACCTGCTGAATGACCTTGGGCAGCTCATGCCCTCTGCCTTAGCCTCAGTTCCCCCATCTGTACAATGGGGATAATGACACTGATCTCCTTTTGCAACAGTCTGAGAATTTACCTACATGTCGGTAATAGTCGGTTGAGATAGTCTGAGAATTTACCTACGTGTGGAGATCTGTGATTGAAGAGTGCTAGGTGAGCTCCAGGAACTGTCTTTCATGTTGTTATTCTTCACCCATGTTAATGTGCATGTGTCTGTCCTCTGACCCCAGCCAGGGCGATGCACCCCATACAGCTTGGGTATTGCAGCCCTGGATGGCGGATACCCTTTAATGTCCTTTGGACTGGCTTCCCACAGCCCAGGGCACCCTCCTTTTTATAGTTAGGAAGTTTGATAGTTTGGCCCTTTACTGATGTTTAGTTGCTTGCTCCACAGAGGTACAAAGAAGGGACAGCTTGGTGGTCTTGTGTGTGAAACCCAATATTGCAAGGAGCATCAACGGACTGGGTGAAAACACCCATCTGATAGTCCTTGCCAGTCTGACCTGAGGAAACTTTCCTTCCTGACCTCATCTCTGCTAATTGCTTTAACTTTGAGGCCACAAGCATTAAACACACCTACCAGGCACATAAGTTCCTCTGTGTCTTTGGGAACATTAGCACAGTCTGGTCAACTCCCCCACCTCTACATGTGGCGAATGAATGTCTGATTCTTCAGAAGGTGTAAAAACACCCAGAAGTCAATTAATAAATGTATTAGTTATTTCCCGCCCACGGGAGGTGGGTGGGAAATCCTTCATGGCTTTTACTGGCAACCAGCAAATACGCTGAAATGCAGGACTCGTACCACGTGTAATGTGGTGCAACAAGTACTGTAAACCTGGCTTAAAAAAAAAATAAGAGGGAAGGAGGATAAGCAAAAGAAAGAACCTTAATTCAGCTGGGGCTGTCCACACTAACCAGCTAAGGCTTTCTCATTTGCACGCACCAAATTAGATTCTCTGAAATCTAATTGACAAGACATCTATGAACACAATCTTGTCTTAAATATCTGCAAGTCAATCACTGCAGTGCAAAATTGTCCCAAAGCTTTACTTCCTATCACGGGCTGCATCTCACCCTGAGTCTGCTCTTTCTAGTTTCAACTTCTGCCCCCAGATCCTGTCCTTGTCACCAGCACTTTCAACAAGCCCTATGCCACTAGACACTTGCTGCATAGTGATTGTAACTCCCCCTCGTGGTGATACCTAGTAGTAGAAGTACTGCATCACTTGCTGCTCCAAGAACACCCTCACCCCTGGCATCCTAACCGGTTCATGCACTCATCAAGTGCCACCCCGATACAATTTCAGTTCCTTGCCCTCCCTACCTCGTTCACAAGGCTGGTCCAAAACCTCACTCCACCACTGGCTAGGAGCTTTCTTCTAATTTCTGATCTAAATTTATTCACAATCTGTTGGATCTTGGGTCCTTTTTAGTGTCCCCGGTATTCACCTTTCCTTTACCACATCGGCAAAATCCAGTTTTAGCTCCGTGGTCTTCAGCTACATTTTCCGCACCCTTTGTTCTCCTTGAGGAGCCCTCTCAGGGGACACTTGTGCGAATATAGCTTGCCTTTGCAAGCCACTGGAGGATGGCGTACATCCCACCGCTTCTGCATCTCATCATCTTTCTGTTTGATCCACGTTGCAGGATGATTATCCTGACAATCTTCCCACCCAACACCACACCAGATTTCCACTCAAGCTGTCCCATTTTTTAGGTGTCCCCTAGTCCTGGAATGAAATGAGCTTCATACCCCACCTCGGCTTGGCTATGATCAGACACTGGGACCAGGCCCGTAGCCTCCAAGCATCAAGACCTCTGCCCAGCTAAAACTATCCCCTCCCCGTGCACACTTCTCCAGCTCCAGCCTACCCCCAGCAAAAACACACACATCTCCTGGGTCGCAATGAGCAGGGACCGCTGCATCCTCCTTGGGGCATAGCCCCCCCCCGCAGCTCACTCCCTTATTTTTTGGTTTCTATCGGTGCCAGAGGCCAAAGAAGTGGCATGTTGTCCAATCTGCAGGGAATCTGGCTCTTCACCTCATAGACAAATGCCTTCTTATTGTGATCCACAGACAGAATCAACAGCTGGAAGGAGAACAGCACGAGGTAGCGTTCTGACATCTCCTGTTAAAATAAGGTTTATTACTGGTATTGTCATCATCGTTCCAAAACGTTAAATGTTTAAGCTTTTTAAAATAAAATACAGTGAGGCAAAATTTCCCCAAGCTCCTCACCCCCCCCCCTCCACACACACACACACTTCTTCTTTGCTTCTGCATAATTTAGTACATCCTTTGTGTGCAGACAGTCTTAGTAGGCTGGTTTGCACAAAGCCTGGTTGATAGCAATGAGCTATGTGGTATTTAGCTGCGGATTATCCTGGAGTGAGTAAGGATTCAGCAAATGCTTTGTTGTTAATTTTTTGCCGTTTCCTAGCACCTTCTGTTGAGATTCTCCAGGTACTTTTGCAAACCCTAATGAGGTGTAGCCACAATGCTCTGGTAAGACAGTTATATTTATCCCCATTAAACAGATGGATAAACTGAGGCACAGACACTTAAAATAACTTGAAATCACTTGCCAAAAGTCACAACATGAATCTGGAAGCCTGGCACTAATAAATTCAATGGAAAACTTTCATTGACCTCAAGGGCAACTGCAGAGCTTGAATGAAATCCAAATGAGTCCCTCCTAATATGTTGGATTTGGGTTCTGTCTCCCAGCCATTGGCTCAGCCCAAAGTTTTATGCACCAAATTTGGGGGAAGGATCAGCCCATTCATGGCAAAATGAAACACAATGAACTCCTTTGCCACCGCCCTTCAGGTCCTTGGATCAGACTCTCAGCTGTCTGGATATACAATATGTACATCATGCTTTTGCCTCTAGTGGAAGAATATCCTGCCTCTAGTCTGTGCAGGGAGAACAGGAGCCCCAATAACCCCCGTACGGTTGATTCTTTGGGAACTGCCATGAACTGATTGCATTGAATGGACTTTGAGGCAATGGGACATGGCAACAGCGTGGCAGGACAGTGGTGCAACCGCTCAGGAAATCTCTTTGGTTGCTGCCAGGAAAATGAACACATTTCTCTTTCGATCGCTGCTCTCAGAACCATTCGTGGCTTGGCTGACCCCGTTTTATTTCAGCTTCTCCATCTCACGAGTGTGCAAAGCATATTGCTGAAGAGTCAGAGGACCCGTAGGGTAAGGACTGTTACCTCCATGTGGCAGCTGCGCAGGAGAACCAGGGAGGACCACACTATTTCCCCAAGGGATTGGATGTTCCTCCCTTCCCAGCCCTGCACGGGCTGTGTGATCAGGAAGTTCGTGAGCTCCTCTTGTGTTCTTCCCCATAGCGCTGCTCCCTGGAAGCAAAACACATATACACACACATACATGCTTCTCTTTATTGCCTAGGATGGGGCAACCTGAACCAAAGGGAAACTTGAGGTGGAACCGCGCTGAATCTACATCCAAACTTCTTGATGCTTGGTGGGTGTTTGTACCATTGTGGTTCATAAGGGGAAAGTGTTGGTCATGTGGTTGAAACTGGATTCAGTTCCCAGTTTCTGCCCCCGATGCCCATGTGAGTTGAAAAAATCACTTCATCTATGCCCACATCTGTGCGACTAAGATGACAGCGCTTCGCTGCTTTGCAAGGGTCTCGTGAGGATACATACGTCTGTGGCTGCGATGGTGCCCAGACCCTCAGTGTGTTTGGAGCCTCTGGGAGATGCAGCAACGCAGGCAATGAAGGTGATGATGATAGACTCACCTGAGGGTCTAGTTCCCTGCTCCTCCCATGAAAATCTTCCTCTTCGGTTAATGCCAGGCTCTGTAAGGAATAGCATATGGGTTTGTATGACCAGGCAAAAACTGGAAGGATAAGATCATCCCCTAAACCATATGACATCAGAATGGGCTTGTGACTCTTTGGAGACAAGTGTGTTTTCACGTCATCGTGTCAGGCACTTTACTGCAGCAGAAGTACATCTGTGCGGCAACAACACCGTAACTCATTGAAACAAGTATGCTCTGAATTCCCCACCTGACTCCACGTGTGAATCTGGGCTGGGTGATTCTGCACATACTTGACTCACCTCTTCTGTATCGGTTGTGGTTGCAGGTTCCCTGGGATGGAAGGAGCTTTCACTTTGAGCTTCTGAGATGGACCATTTTCTGAAGCAGGGGTGGGGAAGAGACAGAAAGAAAGAGGACAAGGTGAGGTTTGAGTATTCAGGGGCAGATCCGGGGGCATGCAGTGGTGCAGTTGCAGCCCTCTTCGATTCTTGGTCCAGCCAAAGTTTAAAAACCACTGCCTGGCAGTGGCCTCAGCATCGCTGTTCATGCAGCGGTGATGGAGCCACTTGGCTTCAGAGCTCATTCATTATAATCTACCTCATTCCTTCTAAACTCTTCATTCCCCAGGTGTTAATGACCCTCCCTCCTTTTGAATGGTCTTCTGACTTTCCTGGCTCCTTATTTCACAGCCTGTTTTTAACTAGCTAGAAGTGTTAACTCCAGGTGAACGTTAACTCAGGTGCAGAAATAACTTTCAAGCACTGGATGCACTGCCAAGATGTTCGAAAAGGCTAGATTTGCTTTCTGAATCTGAAAAGGCGACGTGCATTTAATTCTAAAGGGTACAGGACTAATGAAACAACACCTTTCGATTATTTTTTGCCTAGTCTGTTGTGCTTCTTTACTGCGTAATAGATGACATAGTAAATTAATGTACAGTCTAATAAAGGTATGTTTGTTTTGCATCAGTCTTAAGCTGAATGTATAGCCCCAGGGTCCTAGCATATTAATAAAGCTTCTAGTTCCTTTTTGAGTGGAGAAAAATATATATTGTGTTATATGTGATGCACCACGTAGCTCTCTTTTATTAGCTTATTTTATGGCATTTGTGTCTGTTGTTACACCGTCAAAGGAGTTAATGCTTAGGCAGGAAACTAATATCTGACAAGGCTGTTTCAAATGAATTGCTAAAAAAAAAAAATCCTGGGAAGCTGAGGTGAAATGCAAAAGCTGTACTGTTGAAGGTAAAAATGCCAAAACTGTACGTCTGAACTGCTGTTGAATGTACTAGTTAAATCTAGGAATAGTGCGCCTGAACTGCAACTTGTATCCATACAAATATTCCAGAATGAGGGTTTTCTGCTGTGGGGCTTGAATACCATTATTACAATAGATGCACATACGTCCAACAGGAAAGCTTCTATAATAACAGATACCTGGAAAATCCCTAAAATAAGGAGTTACAAGCTAAAAATGAAACTCTTGACTTCCCTGCTCTACAGTGTATCTCCCTGCCCCCACCTTAAAGTGCTGCTCTGAATTGTACTGTCTTTGGGCTGTAATGAAACTTTGGAGAAAGAGAGATGCATAGGGTTGCTAGATGTAAGAGCCTTTAAGAGGCTGAAGAGATACAACACAGTGGTAGCTGGAAGCGAGACACTGACTGAAGGCAGCTTTATTTTTGAAGGCATCTGGGCTGAAGGACTTTGACACCCTTTAATAGTTGCCATTTAGCCCTGGCAGAGGAAGTGAAGCATGAAATTGTAGCACCGAAATTTGAGGAGTACTGCATGCCATATAAAAATGTAACCCTGGAAATGATATGTTTAATAAGAGGTTGTCAAAAGAAGGTGAAACCATACAGGGTCTGTGATTGATCTGAGCCTGAGGAGGCAATCTTGCATTTCTTGGGGAGACAGCTGACTCCCTGATGGGAGACCAGAGTGCATTGGAAAGTCCAGCGCTACCCATTTAGGAAGCAAAACATTTAAGATGTGCTAAGCACTGTAAGTTGCCTGGTTCAGACTGAATCTTACGGGGTAGAGGAGTGCTGTGGCTCAATGGATGTGACTTTTGGGATCCAAAAACACAACAAGAAAAGAGTTGTGAGTCATAAAGAAATGCAGAACTTAGCCAGAGGGAGACAAGAGCAACACAAGGCGCCCCCGCAGAGACAACCAACACCAACTAGGAGCACATTCAGCAGATGCAAACACATGCAAGAAAGCAATGGATCATGCTGCTTTCCAAGAGTTTGTAAGCATTGGCAGAGCACGCGCAGGGTGACGACAGCGCATCTGGTGCAGATGAATTCCCCAAAGAGCAACAGCTAATGAAGCAGTAAAAGGTGAATGTGAATGTGAATGGACTGTTGACCTAGAAGTAAATGGCACATCTATGATTTATAAGTAGGACACCAGTGCACAAGCCAGTGTGTTAACAGAAACACCAAGTTAAGCCTCAAACCCACAAACAGTGGAAAGTAAAATTCAGGGCTTATGCAGTTAGAAAGTGTGGGAACTTAGGTATAGAGTAGGCCTGTGTGAGTTGGCAGCTATTCGATCCGGCCCCAGAGCCCGTCTGCACCAAGCTCTCGACAGCTGGCAGGCGTCACAGCAGGGGCCACCACCCCTGCAGCTGTCACCCCGCTGTGCCTTAGCACACGCACTGTCACCCATGGCATGAGTTTTCCTTGTGAGCAGCTTGAAGTACAGTTTCCCCCAACCCCCTGCACTGAAGTCCTTGAAACTTGGCAGAATTTGTGGCCTCACCAGGGGCTACCACCCCTGCAGTTTTCAGCCCGCTGCGCCTTAACACACACAGTGTCACCCATGTCACAAGTTTTGCCTGTCAGCAGCTTGAGGTGCAGTTTCCCCCAACCCCCTGCACTGAAGTCCTTGAAACTTGGCAGGCTTCGTGGCCTCAGCAGCAGCTGCCACCCCTGCAGTTTTCACCCCGCTGTGGTGTAACACCTAAACGTGACATGAGTTTTTAGCTTTCAAGAATCTGGGGTACAGTTCCCCCAACCCCTATACTAATCTTCTTGAAACTTGGCAGGCTTCATGCTCTCAGAAGAGGCTAGCACTTCTGCAGGTTTCATCCAAATCAGACAGAAAACAACAAAGTTATAGATATTTCATTGATTTCCCCATTATACCCTATGGCCGGATCTCTGAAGCGGCTCCGAAGCACTTCGGAAAGCCTAACAAAGCCAGCGCTTCAATCCAGATGTGCTGCTTCAGACGTCGAAGCGTCCAAAGCTTCTCTGGATCTGAATCAGGGTCCAAAGCCTTGCACAGCCCTAGTATACAGTAAGTCACAAACTGGAAAAGATGCAATATAGAATTGCAACCTGAAAAGAGAGCTCATTATTGTATCAGGCCCTCGGCCTTGGCAAGAGAGCAAGCACATTTGATAGGCAGGAATTAAAACATCTGAAAGTCATGAAAGCAACTTCAGGAAATAAGGAAGCTGTCAAGATACCATAGCATAGCAATGAAAGCATGCAGCCACACCCAGATTCATTCTTCTAGGAGAGTCCACTGCAACTTAAAGGACAGACCAAAAAAGTAGATATATGGGTTCATTGCTCTTGGAATGAGTGAGTGGAAAAACCAACAGAGTGGGAAATACTCTCGGGTCACTGCAGAAAAAAGGATTATGTAGAGACCCAAAAGAATTGGAAAAAACCAGGTAAAAAGGAAACATTTCTCACTACTGACAGGGACAGAAGTGATGGAGAAGAAAGGTCTGATGACAATTTTTTTTCTTTTATGCTGGAGGCAACAGCTGAGTTCTGCAAATGCCATTAGAAAAGGAATGAGCACGATTTTATGCCACTCGGGCGGTGTTTGGCATTTACTGTATTTCACCAGAAAACGGTGCACTTTTAGCAGTGGGGTGCAATAGATGATATTATTGGGGAAAACAGAAGAACATGAGGCTTCGGGCAACTTTAGAAAGAACTTTGGGCTAAAGCTAAATGAATAAAAATGTAAACTCAGGGTGACCGAAACATTTAGGGGGAAAATTACTACTGCAAAGTGTGCAGGGAGATCTCGGGGAGATTGAGGCGATCACCAGCATACCTGTCCATAGACCAGGAAGGGATGCATCGTACCTAGCTGTCTAAACCAGCAAGCAGAGACCACTGCTGGGCAGAGACCATGATGTGCAAACCTTAAACCGTGTCTGAAAAGCTGAAGGCCCCTAGTTCTGGACTCTTCTGACAGTGTGTGCACAATTCAGTTGGCCAGCGATGCCTCCAAGGACGGCATTTCTGCAGTGCACATTTTTGCAGCAGTTTGGTCAAAACTGGAGTGCAGTGACGTAGGTGTTATGAGCACAGGAATTGAAAAGCAGTATCCCCAAAATAGAGAAGGAAGAGATGCCCTGCATTCAGAGGTTCACAATATGTCAGCCAGGGAACCACATGTGGCCCACCAGGGTGGCAGAGCGCCTTCGTTAGTCAGCTGTGGAACAATCCTGATCCACATCTGCACAGGGGCAAGAGCAGCCCCAAGACCCAGGATTGCAACCACTGCGCTGACTCCCATGCGGGGCAGGGCCAGACCATCCCTGACCACTGGGGGCTGTGGTGGGCAGTGCTCACTCAGGGATATGGGGCAGAGGGGTCAGAGCGGGCAGTCGGGTCCCTCAGGAACAGCCTGATAGCACTGGGAGGACATTACAGAAGTAGAACATTTGCTACTAATGGTGGCCCTCCATGGAAAATATAACTTGCAAGGGGTCCTCCACAGAGCTGGGATTAATGAAGGCAACTTAAACCCTGCTTCAATTCATGTGTGCAAAAAGTTTTGACCCGTTGTTTATGGAAATTTCACGTTAGCTGAGACAGACCTTAAGTAACTTCTTACCATTGTCAAAAGAGGCTCAGAAAACGCCCCAGGGTCTAAGGCTGCAGGGGTTGTTGTTTCAAGTATAAACATTAAAAGGAAACCAAATCTGAGCGAGATCTGGTGGTCACAGACACTCTCTCTATAGCATTTGACAGAACAACCCTAGAGAAGAGCCAATCCTACACAGACATTGTACAGCGAGCACTTTTTTTTTTAAATGACCAGTTTCAGACAAAATGTGGACAGTGTTGCAAGGCCTACATGAAATAAAGTGATTAAAGTCAAACAGCGTGCTCTGGGATCCTGGGAGCTGCCACTGCTTCAGGAAAATAATGCGGTGTGATGAGAATCCAGGGGCATAAATTGCAGTGGTGTCCTTCGAGGTTTGCCTGTGATTTTAGAAGTCCACCTGACGTGAAGGGATGCTAGGAAGGAACAGGCAATACCACCTCCAGCTTCCAAAAGAAAGAGGAATGAGGCACAGAGCCGTCTGTTTTGGCTGAGCAAGTCTTAGACGGGCACCAGCCACAGCTGATTGAAGGCAAATGAGCCTTGAGACAAGTTACGGTCAGAACAAATGGGTACCAATAATGCTGATATTTCAAAGGAAACGCAACAGCAAAAGACACCTCCCGAGGCAGTCCAAACCCTGTATTGTTAGTGAGTTTAGTTAGTTAAGTGGGTTACCGGTATCAGAAATGTAGTGTTATCAGCATTGTTTGTTCGCAGTTGTTAAATGTGGCTGGGAAAGGAGAATTGCGGTCCATTTTATGCTGAGAATAGTGCCACGAAACGCAGAAGCAGCTTCAACTGAGATAGGGACTGACCTAGATCTATGAGTCTCAAACCTTTTTGTGTCCAGCAAAGATCCCCATGATAAAAGCACCCACCTGCTTCCAAAACACTACACCCAAGAACCAGAAAATGCTGCTTCCTACCTGCTATTACCTATCTTCAGTAGCTCTACCACATCCTGGCCACCTCCTGCAGATCCAGCCCGTCTGGCGCACACGTTGCAACATCCCATCTCTTCTCACCGGCTTCCCAATCCTCCAAGCAGTGACTGGATGCTTCAGCCCTCCAGGATGCTGCTTTAAATTGCAGGCTCACATGCGCACAGTGTCTTTAACAGCACTTAGTAAGGAAGGAGAAAGTACAGGAAGGGAAGGAGAGGGCCCCGTATGGCTTGTGAAAATTGTTCTTTGGTTTAGAAGCAGCAACATCTGACATGTAAAAGCATTTCCTGTTGGTTTGAAACCTTTCTCTCTCTCTCCCTCCCCAAGAGTCACTGCTTCCTGCTGAGCTGATGGCCAGATAAGTACATGTCACAATTTGGTTTTCACCTCGTCAAAATTAAGAATGAAAAAGACGTCTTTAGTACGTGACCTAAGCGCAATGCAGCCTCGCAAACCTGAACCGACTGAGTGCATAGCCGGGAAAAACAGGAAGAGGGCAGATTTTCGGACACATTTCCAACCAGCATGATTTTGACGTGGATCGGTTTTCCCCGGAGCATGGCGGGAAGCCCATTGCTCCACCAGTTTGAAATGGGACTGGACCACGTCTACTTTAGAGTGAGGTCTCCAATGTGGGGGATGGGCATTGAATAAATTAAATAGGTGTCTTCCCTTTCAAACTTCTGAAACTGTAGAAAACTAATTTATTTTGGGTCTTGGTTTTGGTTTAGCTTGGTTAAATTTGGGGTTTTTTTGGAGGCAGGAGGAGGAAAATGGAGGGTGAGGGGCCAGTTGTCATCTCTCAGCATCTGAGCAGTGGGTAAGTGAGGCAAGGGAGGGGGCCTCTTTCAAGACAGCAATGGGTGAAGGAGGGCTAGGGCAAGGAAAGAGAAGAGTGGGGCTATTGTGGAAGGGGAAGAGGGGAGAAGAAAGGGATGGACACTGAGCTGGTTTGGCCTTTGTCTTCCTGCATCTGGGAATCCGGCGGATGGGTCTGTTGGACTCTTCTCGGGGCTCTGAGGACAGATGGGCCTGAGGTGCAATGCTCTGATGTGAACCTGAAGTTCCTAAAGACCCAGTCCTGGTAGGATTTGGGTTTTGCCTGGATCTGTTTCAGAGAGGGACTGTGCAACCTGGCCTGGCACCCCTTAAAGTCTGGGGGCCTTGAAATATGGGTTTTGTTAGGGTTCACCAGCAGGAAACTGCTTACTTAATGTACCTTGAGACCTGCATTTGTGCACAAGAAAAGGGGTTAATATAAGCAGCGTTTTTTTTTAATGCACAGATATTCGAGGAACTGAAAGGGCAGGATGCAGCTGCAGAAGTCAGTCTGCTGATATTCTGAAGAGATATCAACCGCCCCCAGAGCAAACTACATCTGGTTTCTCCAGTCGCAGCAAGCAGTGCCTCGTGGTTTCTGTTGAATTTCACCAAATTTCCTGAGAAATGTGGAAAAGATTTGCAAAATGATCATTTGCAGCTGACCTGGGCTGTAAGAGTCACTCAGCGGGCTAAAGATGAAGAGAGCCCTGTTGATCATAGCATTGCTACAGCAAGGCAGCTTGAACTCTACCTCTCAATGCAGAGTTACTGCGGTATGTGGAGTTATTATTGCATTGTCTTTCCGTAACCAGCCCACTAATATTATTCAGGAATAGAGGTAAACCCAGGCTCAGCAGAGATGAATGATGAATGAGAGCTTGGATTTGGATCTAAGTTGTTGGGTGCAAATTTAACAGTGCTGAAATCCCATGGGTGGAAACGCTGCTATTTTTGCAGCATGTCAGCCAACGTGCTCTCCCTCCAGTGGTCTCGTTTCTACCAAATTGAAACCCGAACAATGCAAATGCCTTTCAGTCTAGACTCCAGCCTTGAAGTGGGACTGTCTAATCCAAACTCAGCCCCCAACTTCCAGATGGCTGCATCCAGGCCCTGATTTTTCTTTCTTTCTCTTTGGCCCACCACCGCTCCGCAGATCTTTTAAAGCCATTGCTGTCCAAGGTTTCTCATTTCTGTCTTTGAAGTGACTCCACTGATTTTAATGGGAATAAGACAGGACTTGGGCCCATGATATATGCTCCAGGATGGGCACTTTCGGGCACTTACAACCCTGCCTTCTCCCTCCACTGAAGTGCACATGAAGGGAGTGTTTTCACTAACCCTCCCCTCATGGCAAATTCCTTTTTCATGCACTACTTTTTCTTACCTTGAAAAATCTCTGTGTCAAAATAGCTCTGGCGCAGGTCCTTCAGCAGCACCAGCGCTCTTTTCTGCCCGGGGGCAGGGGGTCAGACTCGATGATCTGCCGAGGTCCCCTCCGACCCTAAAAATCTATGACATCTATGAAATGTATGGGATGTCTGCTCTAGATCAACTGTGGCTGTCTTAGCCAAGATGACTCACAGCAGGTCTAGGCAGCAAGGTGACTGGGGACCCTGCTCTACGCCAGTGATCTTAGCCCCTGAGAAGGAAGCCTGCCAGCTCTGAACCAACCAAGGAAGCTCCTTCCACAGCTTTTGGAAGACAGGCCAGTGCCTCCGCTCAGCTGGCATGGAGTGAATGCTAGATTTATAACCTTCAAACTGCTGAGGGAGGCCTTACAGCCAGAAGAAGCAGTGATTTATGTGCGTGTGTGATGGAGAACGGCAAGGAAGTTCCCTTCCTCTATATGGCTATTTTTTGCATTTCCACTTGCAGGACAGGAGGGTACAAGGATCCTCCATCCACCTCTGCGGGTGGAAGGTAGGGTACAATTCAGGTGGAAGTTGCAAGTACCACTGCAGAACTATTTCCTACCCCATACAAGAGAGGGTGGGTAAATCTTGCCAGCCAAAGCAATGCTATTATATTCATCGCTGTCAATAATGGACACGAGTGCGTGGTGTATAAACGATAACACATGAGCACAGATACAGCATAACACATGATTAAACGGCATGTTGCAAATATAATGATACAGGACACACAATGCGATACAAGAGTATTGCTGATTCGGCTTCTCCCAACATTAAAATATATGCTCTAGAAGAGGACATCAGAGTTGGGGCTTTCAGTCTCGTTCCAGGGATTTATAGCATACTATTACTGTTTCAGCAACCAAAGCACAGTGGTATTTCTTCCTTAATTTGTGGCTCTGGGAAGGAGGGGAGGAGGAATCCGAGTGACTGGGGGAGTAAGCGTTACATGGCAGGTCACTTACCAATGTGTTGCATAACGATCTCTCCTTTTTGTTTTTTTAAGGTAAAAAAAATGAGCATTTAAAAATCAGCAAACGATTCCATAAAATGCTTAGATATGTCACAGATAGCAAATGTTTTGGAGCAGGGCTCTGTCCTTTATAGGAAAGCACCACATGTTCAATACACAGTAATCTCAGGCTAAGACGCGCGATGGGACACCTTCTTGTCATCCTGAGGTGACTCGGAGCACTGGGGCGCAGCAGCTGCCATGCTCTCATGGGTCAGCGGTGTCCCCTGGGCTACAGAGTGGGTGGTGGCTTGATGGAGGGGCTTGCTGTAGCATTTCAGACATGGGGAGCTGTTGGGGACCATGGACTGGAGATGCAGAGATACCATCTGGGAGCTGGTCAAGGTGACAGTGCTCAGGTCCTCTTTGATGGCAGTGTAAGGTTGAATCTTGAAGGTTTGCTGTAACCAGGCGCTATAAGAGGTATCTTTTGAAGCAGCCACTGTAGGAACGATGGTGCTGGCTTTGTCCTTGTCAAAACCATCATCCACACTGGGTTTTACAAGGCTCTCTGAGACCCCCGCAGGCTTGATAACGTATTTATGGCAGGTATTGCTCACCTGGCCAGGTCGGAAGGTGGATTTCTCTGGGCGGTAGCAATACAGGCTGTGCGTGCTGGAGAGCTGCACTTGTGGCATGCTTAAGACTGTTCTTTGGGAAAACTTGGTAGACGGGGAAGTGGGATTCTTGGGAGGTTTCTCGGTTGCCCTGGTAGGGGTCTGAGTGGGCGGGCTGGTACTCTCTGCAAATGACTTCTGGCTTTTTGTGGGACGCATGGCATTTTTCGTCTTTAAGGATCTGGATCCAGGTTCAGAAGCATCCCCATTGTAGAGCAGCACAAAATGGCAGAGTGTCTCCAGCGGTAATATCCTCTGGCATTTCAAGCACTTCTTGAAAATCTCAAGAGCCAAATCTGCGAGGGGAGATATGAGCATGACATGGCTACACATCTCTGCATAAATGCACGCTACACTGCACAGTGCACAAGGGACACGGAAAGGAAAAGCAATGGGGACATGTACAATTACCCTAACATGAACCTGCACACACATGCATGCATACACGAAAGTCATATATCATTTAAAAAAAAAAAATCCATGACATTACTTGTGCAAGCATACACATGCACACCAGGCCATAGACAGCATCTATATAACATATGCTGTTGGCATCAAGTTCACTCTTTTTTAAGCCATTAATATTTTCATGTGCTAATGGGGTGAACAGGCATCCAAGTGCTCACACAGTGTGCATAGATGCAAACTGCATGAGTATTTCTTAATTTCTGTGCATGCAAAATAATATGTAGGGGACAAGGGGCACTTCCAAATATGTGTGGGGAGGTGGGGATGTGTGTGAAAATGCAGCCCATACATTTTAAAGAAAGGTATGAGAAAAACACCTCCAAAGTCTGGCCTGAGCAGATTTCTGCCTTGTATAAGTAGCTGGCTAAAACAATGACAACATTTCTAATGGGGCCAAGTGAGGGTGGGATTTTCCAAAGTACCTAAATGCCTTAGACGTACAAGTCTCACTGAAGATCCAGGGCTGTTTTGATTTCTAAGTCATTTAAATGTTTTTTGATGGGACCATAGCAGCATCCACTGATGCCAAGATGTCTTTCTGTTGTTTGTAATCAGCATTAAACTACAATTATTGTTCTCAAGGGCCTTGACAAAGTGGCTAGAGTGAGTCCAGATTCTCCCTGCTCTGTTTTATATAACAGAGCTAAGATTTGGTTCAAATAACACATAAGGCCACAGGGACCCACTGTTGTGCCTTTGGTCCCTGCGGGCACCTCTCATGGGAGGTGCTGAAAAGGGGACGGCTGGGTGTGCGGGCACCACAGTGCTGGCCTACTTACCGAGAGTCTCGTTAACCACGGTGGGGATGATGTGCTTCAGGACTTCGCAGTTGGTGTGCAAAGCAGGGTTTGCATTCATTTCCAGGAGCCAGACCTGTAGAGGACAGGCACAGACAAGAGCCTGAAAGCAAAGTCTGAGCCCTCTAAGACCTGTACTAGTGCCCATTCAGGGGCACAACGACCACCTGGATTTTCTGGAGAGCAGAGATGATTGAATAGATCCAGTAAACTCCCCAGCTCAACTACCAGTGGATGATCTATCTCCACTTAGACCAAAGGCTCTGACTAGACTTAAGCAAACCCTTCCTAATTAATGCCCAGGTAAAATGCATCAAGCTGGAGATTTTTATGACAAAACAAAAACTTATGAGATTTCCTGAAGCTTATGAGTCACTTTTTTTGCATAGCTACTCCCATCTCACTTAGCAAGTGAGGCTGCTGAGGTCTCTAAGGGAGGCTCAGGTCCAGGTTTGCGGTAAACTTATTTCTAGTGAGTGCATCAAGTTTTTGGGGGCGTGATTTCAAGCAAACCCAAGGCGTTGGTTTCCATTGTAAAACCATGTGATACACTGAGTTTTGTATGTCTGGGCTCAGTTTCATTTTGAAATGCAAGGCCTTTTTAGCTCTCACGTCCCAATTTGAGGCAGCACGATAGTAGAACTGTTAAAAAAAAAAAAAAAAAAAAAAGTTGCACAAATCCTTGTGCAATAAAACAGCCAAGTGTGTGTGGGTCTGTTAAATACTTCAACAGGTTCAAAGAAAAACCCACCTCTTCAGCCTCCGCTTCTGGCATAGGGCACTCCAATTCACGTATACAACATGCTGGGAAGCATTCGCTTTTTTTCAGGAGGGTTGTTTAATGACATAAGTGCCCTACAGCTCTTTATTCTGATGTTTAAATGCTGTAGAGAAAGGTGCCCTGCCTCCATGCGCGCTTCTGTTTTCTCCTCTGGAAATTGCATTAATTAGAAGGATCAGGTGCACTCTTTTATCTGCTCTTCTCCATTGTGTTTTACTAAGAGGAAAACAAACCAAGCCAATTATTTTTCATTTTCTTTTCATGTTTAATTTGTTTAGGAAAATGAAAAGGCCCAACAGAAGGGGACTTGGAAAAAGATGGGAGACTTTTCAGGAAGCCAAATGAGCTCTTCTTTCAATGGAAATGCGGTGCAGGTGCCACTAGAGGACGCCTAAGCCATATTGACAGCTCTCCGCAAAATGTGTATTGTGCTGTTTGGAAACTTTGCTCGGCTACGGCAAACTTGCACGATTTTTGTGCTGGCAAAGAACCCCCTGAAATGTTTTGAATGCTCTTTAGTTTCCCTTTCGGCCTCATGAGCAAATTTGAGGGGCTCTGTGTGTGTGTGCACATCCATCGCACTCTTAAATGTCCCCTGTGGCTGAGGTGGCTAATCAATCATCACCTCCCAGTTGTCACTTGTTCAGTCTCACCACTGCCCTGCATTACAGGGGGGGCAGAGAGACCAACACCCAAGTGCACCAAGGTACTTAGGCACTGGATTCTTACTGAAGTCAATGGAAGTGAGGCTCCTTTAGGGGATTAGGGTCCCCATGACTTGTCCATGGAGCAGAGTAAAAACCCTGGTTTAAGTGCCATGCAGACAGGGCAATGGGATTTTCAAAAGCACCTTAAGCAACTTTTGGTATCTGCATCTCATTGAAATCAGTGGGGCTTAGACTTGAGGCACTTTTTAAACACCTTGCATTAGTTGCTCACTTGCATCTTTTAGGTACCTAAATAGCTTTAAAGCAGGGGTGGGCAAAATGCGACCCGCAGGCCAGATGTGGCCCACCAGGCCATTCTATCCGGCCCACGGGGCCCCTAAAAAATTTAGAAAATTAACGTTAATCTGCCCTGGGCTGCCTGTCACGCGGCCCTGGATGGCTTGCCAAAACTCAGTAAGCAGCCCTCTGCCCAAAATAATTGCCCGCCCCTGCTTTAAACAAATAAGTCCTTTCACCCCCTGCGGCTGAATAATAACATAAAAAGACTCTTATTAGCACCTAAATAAGAGCCAGATCTTTAACAGCCTGGCACCCAGTGTCGTCAACTCTTCTAGAAACCTGAAGATTTATTTTTGTGTTTAACTGGGTGCTCCTTTTTTATATTTTGCTTTGAGTTTCCATTTTGTCATTTGTGGAATAGGAATAACACCAGTTAGCTGCCTCAGAAGAAGGGGTGGGGGTGGAGATTAGTTAGATAATGTTGGTAAAGTGCCTTGAAGATATAAGTTGCTATTTAAGTGCAAACTATTTAATACAATGAGCTGTGGAAGGAGGAAAACACCAGCACAAACCAAGATAAGATTTTTTTTTTTCTTTTCTTTCAAATTGCCTTTCCCTCTCTGGGAATCAAGCAGGAATCTCTGTTTCTTAATATTGTTTTTCTAATTGCCCTGTTCTCTTGTGATTTCAGGGCCGACCTGGTGGGTGATGCAATTTACTGTCCTCAAGGCAGGTCTGTTTTCCTATGGTATGAATAACTCCCACCCTGACACATTTCTCTAGCCAGTGGCTTTGTCCGTGAAAGGCAGCACTTGCACAAGTGGGGGTGGTGTTCCCACCGCTTGCAGCACCCCCAGAGCCTGTGTTGTTGCTTTGTTTTTTACCTGCATAGCCTCAGTGCATACCCTGGGGAATACATGCACACACGCGTGCGCGCGCGCACACCCACACACACAGATTTATCAGGGTCACTTGGGAATGTAGCAATTAAAAGATGTAGACAGCATCATTAAGAAGATGCTAGCCACAATTGCAATCTCAAATGCACTGCTGAGGTGTGGAGAAAACCCAAGTCTGATGTTTTTTGGGGAGGAATCGTCTTTATGCTCTGGGTTTGTACAGCACCTACTGCGCTGGGGCTCCATGACTAGACTTTGTGGGTCTGCTGCAATGCAAAGAAAGATGATGATAAAGCCGCTCATTCTCCTGTGCCAGTACCCATGTGCCTGAAATTGTGAGCCCAGCCTCACCTGCTCTAGGGACTGTTGAGGGTGGCACTCAGTCACTGAAACGACTCTGCTGAGACTCCCCAAATTGCTAGTGTCAAAAGTCACAAACCTAACTGGTGGACTTTTCCTTCCTCTCACTGTCCCGGTGAGGTAGATGCTAATGAGTAGGTTTTATACTGAGCTCCTGGCAGGGGCCTGGTGTGGATCCATCCATCTCTGTAGGGACCCCAAACGTTTGCAGAGAATTTTTTTTTTTTATTAATATATTTCGTGTTCCGGGTGAAATCGGCCAAATCAGTTCCAAATCACATTGATTGAGCAGAACGTAATCCTTCCAAAAGCTATATGGATTGAGCAGGCAGAATTCAATCGTTCTAAACACCATGTACGGCGCTACAACCGGCGAGCATCCTCTGTCTCATGAGCTACAACCGGCGAGCATCCTCTGTCCCAGGCTCTCACCCTGGGACTCCAGATACTTCCATATCCATTGGCAGGCATCTTACATGCAGGCTCAAGCCTGGAGGTCTTGGGATTCGGATGCCCCTGAGGAGAATAGGCAGCAGGGCCGCTGAAATCGGTGGAACTGCATAGCTTTATGATGAGTGAAGTTAGCCCTTTATCCACGTCGTGCCCCTCTGCTGTAAGGTGACTAGCCAACCTGATATTCTCCCCTGGCTGGATAGCTGAATCCTTTTACTGCTAGTAAAAGACCTCCAGTCCACATCTGTCTTCTGAGCCTCCCCAGAGCCCCTCTGTAAGACTGATGCAATCCTTTTGCTAAACAGGTTCGTTGGTGGGAGACCATTTCACGTGAAACCAACCCGGAGGCCTGCTGTGTCTGTGGGTCTTCGCGCGCGCACACCCACACACACAGATTTATCAGGGTCACTTGGGAATGTAGCAATTAAAAGATGTAGACAGCATCATTAAGAAGATGCTAGCCACAATTGCAATCTCAAATGCACTGCTGAGGTGTGGAGAAAACCCAAGTCTGATGTTTTTTGGGGAGGAATCGTCTTTATGCTCTGGGTTTGTACAGCACCTACTGCGCTGGGGCTCCATGACTAGACTTTGTGGGTCTGCTGCAATGCAAAGAAAGATGATGATAAAGCCGCTCATTCTCCTGTGCCAGTACCCATGTGCCTGAAATTGTGAGCCCAGCCTCACCTGCTCTAGGGACTGTTGAGGGTGGCACTCAGTCACTGAAACGACTCTGCTGAGACTCCCCAAATTGCTAGTGTCAAAAGTCACAAACCTAACTGGTGGACTTTTCCTTCCTCTCACTGTCCCGGTGAGGTAGATGCTAATGAGTAGGTTTTATACTGAGCTCCTGGCAGGGGCCTGGTGTGGATCCATCCATCTCTGTAGGGACCCCAAACGTTTGCAGAGAATTTTTTTTTTTTATTAATATATTTCGTGTTCCGGGTGAAATCGGCCAAATCAGTTCCAAATCACATTGATTGAGCAGAACGTAATCCTTCCAAAAGCTATATGGATTGAGCAGGCAGAATTCAATCGTTCTAAACACCATGTACGGCGCTACAACCGGCGAGCATCCTCTGTCTCATGAGCTACAACCGGCGAGCATCCTCTGTCCCAGGCTCTCACCCTGGGACTCCAGATACTTCCATATCCATTGGCAGGCATCTTACATGCAGGCTCAAGCCTGGAGGTCTTGGGATTCGGATGCCCCTGAGGAGAATAGGCAGCAGGGCCGCTGAAATCGGTGGAACTGCATAGCTTTATGATGAGTGAAGTTAGCCCTTTATCCACGTCGTGCCCCTCTGCTGTAAGGTGACTAGCCAACCTGATATTCTCCCCTGGCTGGATAGCTGAATCCTTTTACTGCTAGTAAAAGACCTCCAGTCCACATCTGTCTTCTGAGCCTCCCCAGAGCCCCTCTGTAAGACTGATGCAATCCTTTTGCTAAACAGGTTCGTTGGTGGGAGACCATTTCACGTGAAACCAACCCGGAGGCCTGCTGTGTCTGTGGGTCTTTGCAGGATGACTCAAGAGGAGACAGAATGACTGTGAAAAACAAGCTCTTCCTCCACTTCCCTCCTCCCTTGCCTGCCCTCATTCCCCCTCTTCACAGCTTAAACATGAGCACAGTCGGTGCTAAATGGGGTTGTGGCTTCTCAGGTCCTGTTCACACACATGGGCTATCTCAATTAAAGCTTTGGAAAAGAAAATGCCCTTCAGAGACCGGGCAAGGCAAATGCCCTCTTGGGGTGTCGGTTCAGAAGGATTCAGGCATTTGTTTCTCAAAAGAAAAGGGAAGAAAGAAGGGCTTGAGTTACCCACAGACACTTTTCAACCCTTTCACGTGCCTGTCTTAAATTAGCTGTGGGGAGGGAGCCCCTGGAGACCCTACAGAGCAGGTACCGCACAAGAACCGGTATTTTTTTAGACTGGAGGGACTATCCCCAAGACTGGAAAGATGTTAGAGACACAAAAGCAGACACGAGAAGGTGCCGAGTCAGGAACTTGTAACATGTACAAGCGCCCTGTGAGATCAGCCCAGCTACCATGCTGTGGCAGACTTGTAGGAACGACGAGCGGGCCTGCATCTCTTGCATCTTGCACCAGTTCAACACTGAGGTGCCTCCACTGACCCCAGTGGACCTTCTCCTGTTTCCAGTGGTACAAGTGAAAGAAGAACCAGGTTCAAGGCAGGAAGAGTCTCTAGCAAACAAATAAGCGCACACATTTCACAAACACCTTTCCCATGCACTTCACCCAATTCCCAACCAGGTCCCACATTGCTAAGTCTCCAGTTTCTCAGCACTGAAACCCCCACTCTGGCTTTAGATCAAATAATGCTAAAGAAATGTATCTTGTTTATCTGTCCCTCTATAAAATACATAGGGAGGGAACAGACTCCAGGGACCATGTTTGCACTGAAGCAAAGCTAAAGCTTTTAATTAACCACACAGGGATTGCCACAATAGAGTGATATTGGATCTCCCATTCTATTTCAGGTTTACACAGCCAGGGCTTTGCATGCCAACATTGCAAAAGACAATTGCTGCTGAAACTTGAGATGTGCCAGTTTCTCTGTCTTTGCCATTTACTCTCTCTCACCATTGACTTCCTGCACAAAGGAGGCTATTGTTTGGGGGCCATGTCCTGTGCTGCATACATTTACTTCTGCAGTAGGGTTTGCTGCTCCCCTCCGCTTTTTTTGCTGCAATATGTTTGTATTTAATTCCTTCTTTAGCAACAGGTCCACAAAAGGAAAATCAACCAGATGGCTTTCCGTTGTGCTGAGGCCAGGTGGTTCCACGGGATGTTGTTGCATTGAAGCGATGTGATTGTTGTGTTCATCGTTTCATCTGTTCTTAACAAGACCGTCTCCCTCTCTTACCTTTTAGTCACTCCGCAGCTTTGTTCTGTCAAAACCCACAAGCTACGTGAGGTTGGGATGCCTTGGTACCTGGATGGCAAATGTACTGGGGCTATTGGGAACATGGTCCTATTTTTCTGGTTCGTGATGCCTTCCCCCCACCCCTGACCCAGGACTGAGAGCGATGCCCCAGCACGGTGTGCCAGGAGGTTCGGTGTAGATACGTTTAGCTGCCTTCAGATGGGATGCAAAATCAAGGCCAGACAGTTTGTGGCAATTACCGATTTCATGATACTTCTCCCTGTTAATCCCACTCTTATCCAAACTTCAATCAGAGTTTTAAACAGATGAAGTATACTTCATAGAGCATGCAATGCTCTCCCTAAATTGCTCAAGAATTAGTATGAACTCAGAGCGGCTATGAGTTATTAAATATTTGGCTTCTCAGAGGTGGCTACATGAATGACGGGAACACAATCTTGCTTCATACCTTAAAGTTCTCATCTATCAAGAAATCGCAGCCGATGAGATCAAAGTAGCCCAGTTTGCATTCCAGCTTGGCCTTGACAGCCAGGAAGCACTGCATCATGATCTGCTGCATCTTCTTCTGAAAGACACAGGAGAAAGGCAGTTTAAGATCCGTGTTGAATGCACAGGGCCACAGAATGATAAGACATGGGACAGTGACCTGTCAGTTCAGCAGAGCCACCTGGACCAGCAAATCCTCTCCTCCCTGCCTCCATAGAGATGGTTTCCTACATTTTCAAATTGAGAGAGTCTGGGAACCAAATGGAGGTGGCTCCAGGGGGGGGGGGTGCAGTGGTGTTAATATAACCCTCTTTCCTTTTTTAATGGTCTTAATATTCCACTAATCAAGCTATTCTTTCTTTTGCAAATTCCCTGTCTGTTGGCTGCTTCTGGTAATGTAGCTCCTATCACACAGCTCTGCAGGCTGTTTTTAACTCTAACTAACCCAGGTGCAAAAATAACTTTCAGTGAAGTGCTGGATGCACTGTCAGGATGCTTGAGAAGGTTTGATTTTGCTTTATGAATCTGGAAGAGGTGTACATTCAATTCTAATGACTACAGCACTAAAGAAACATCTTTTGAATTGCTGGCCTAGTTGTGTTTTTCAATACGTAATACAGGATATAGCAAATGAGCACACTTTCCAATAAAGCTGTATTTATTTTTGCTTTGACGCTGAACTGAATAATGTAGCCCTATCCCCCGCAGCATATTAGTAAAGCTTCTAGTTTCTTTTTACCTGGAGAAAAATATACGTGCTGTGTGATATGGATTATAGGGATGATGCACCACAACACCTGCACCCCCTTTTTCAAAATCCTAGATCCACCCGTGGAAACAAACCATATGTTGACTATGGGACAAAAACCCACATCTCAATGTAGGATGTTCTCAGCTTCATGCCGTTATTGCTACTTCTAAAGAGAAGCCGCTCCAGTGAAAGTCCTAAGATTCGTAGGCCCCGTTGGGTTATAAGCATTGTTTTTTCTCTTGCAGACTTTCTCTCCTCTAAACACATGGCTATCCCCTCTGTGCTCCTTCTCTGGTTGGAAATGTGAGGCCCCACGGCCCATTAGCCAACAGCAGTACCTCCTTGCCAGGAGACGGTCCTGCGTCTTGCTTCTGCATATTGCTGTCATGCTGCCCTGCAGGACTGGAGCCCCAGATCCTTCTGCAGAGTGAGCATTTAAAGAGACTACTAGTGACTGACTGACGTGTGAATGTGGCATTTGGGGATGTGGCCAGTGTGAAATATGGCAATTTCTGTCTCTAACAAGTTACCACCTCCCTGCGTTGCACGGTGTGGGCTACCGGCTGCAGTAACACAGAGCAAACAGCAGCAGTGGAAATGAGTGTGGTTCCTATTTCTGCCTGAAACCGTAACATGAAAGCAGGCTGGTGAAATGTTGCTAGATCTCAGTGAAACTCAGGCTTAGCCTAAGATGCTTCCCACCTGGTTTCCTAAAGTTTGGGTGAAAAGCCAAAGGGCTTTTCATTTAACATTTTTGGCATTTAATTTCCCTTGCTTTTTAGTCAACAATCCAAAGTTGAAGCTTGAACACCCTTTTACCTTCTTCCCCCTTCATTTCTACCCACAACAGGTGTCCCAAGCTGCATTACAGCCTTAATATACCATCAGCATCAGGCTGATGAGCTGCAGGGGCCCAGAGAGCGAGGCTCTTCCTTCCTTCTTGTGTTGCCATCAGGAAAATGGCAGGAAAACAAGGTTGCCTCCACTTCAGCGGAAGAAGGGGCTATCTCAGCGGTTCACAGAGAGAAGGGTGAATGGGAAGGAATCACACCACAAAGTATTAGGCCCTCAAAAATGCAGATTGAGACTAGCCAGTCTAGGGCAGGTCCTTAATACACCGGAGCACGATAACATTGGATTGGAAACGTGAAGAGTGCTAGAGCACCGGTACTGCTGCCTGTTGCCCTTGTTCGTTAATCCACCCCAAAGCACGTTTAAAGCGAACCATTTAACTGGCCAGAAGTCAAGACTGACATGAATAAAATGAAAAACTCACTTCATTTTTGTTTCCACATGGATTTGGCGGGGGCTGTGATGGGTGACACCAAACTCCCTGCATCGTAGCTGCTGCCTTCAGCTTCTGCTGCTATCGGACACCCCATCAGGTGGTGAGACAAGCACCTGGCTGGGGTCTCTTGACCCCATTGCTCTTTCCTGCCCAGAGCAAGGGGTTGGACTCAATCTAATAGGTCCTTTTTTGACCCTAGAAACTATTAAATCTTTGCTCAGTACTCCTGCCTTTCCCCTCGGGCTCCTGAGAAGCAATCACGCTTGCCCCCTCCCCTCTCTTCCAGGTCCACACTACACACATGCCCTGGCCACACACTCACAGTGAACACAGTGAGGACCCAGTCTTTGGGGAGGCCTTTGGTCTGCTTGAACTTCTCATTAATGTAGCTGTTAAAGCGCTCCATCCGCCACACCGTCTCCTCCTTCAGCTGGCTGTACAGGGGGTTCTTCTTCTGCATGTACTGGGAGGGGAGAGAGGGGGAAAGCAAAGGGATGGTTAAATTTCCTGCTCCCCTCCGCAGGGAATGGAGAGGAGGTGAGAGAGGGATGCTAACGAGGAACCACTTGAACCACACTGGGCAAAGCCAGGAAGGTGGTCACACTTTCTCAGAGGGTTTAGCTCTTGGAGCTGGGGGCCCTAGCTTGCCCAGCAGGATAGCTTTCGGGCAGTTACACTAGCTGACCTCACGCTCCATATGGTGACAGCAAAGAGACGTCCCACTGCAACTCTCTACATAGGCAAGCCCCGCAGCCCACTTGCAGCCCAGCCTGGAGCTTCATTAGTAATGAATGATTATAATCCTTCGTATTCCTACAGCACCTTGCACACAAGGCTCCCCCAACACTTCAAGTGTCACAAGAAGTCATGAATAACGAAGAGAAGCCACTTGACCAAGGGCAACCGATGCATTGGTGAACAGAACCTATAGGCCTGATTCTCAGTTACATTGAACTTCCTTCCCAGTGACTTCGTCCAGTGAGCAGGGATGCCCCGCTTCTCCCCTGAGAAGTCCCACTGTGCAAGTGGTCTCCCCAGGCCTGCTTCCAGACCCCGAACTTTGCAATGCATGGGGGTCCCATTAGGGACGGGGCCAGAGTGCACTGCACTTCAGCCATTTTCAGCAATCCGAGTCCACGAGAACCAGGAGCTAGGTTAGAGCAGTGTTTGCAGGCCAGAAAGGGCGGCTTAAAACATCGTTAGCCCCCTTCCCATTTCCCGCTCAGGCACTACAACAGCGACCATGAATCATCAGCCACCAAGAGCCCTGACTCCTGTTCTCCTTATGCCATCGTCTGCCACTGTCCAGCCGAGACCTCTCAAGCAGAGGGTCTGTTCCCTGCAGTTGTGAGAAAGCTGCACTTTTCTTAAAACCATGCTGTTTCTCTGTGTGTGCACTGAGCCTCCAGCCCAACATAAGTCAGGCAGGGTCAGGTCCTTTCACAGACCTGGGGTAACTCTTTGCTGTAGCATCTGTCTGATGGCCGGAGAAGGCAAGAGGGGAGCATGTCTGGGAAAAAACAAAAAAACCTCTCCTTGTGTGGGTCTCCAGAGTGACCCAGGGAGAGGGATTTTCCATTCCACTCCCTCCTTCATCCCCTGGTAAGAGTTTAGTGAGCATGGGGAGCTCTCCGTACGCAGCAGCCAGCCTGGATTGCAAGGATAATTGCAACAGAATCGGCGCTAAGCTGCAAAATTTCTGCTTGGTGGAGCTGCCATTGATGCCTCTCATGGTTCCAGTTTAAGGCACTGAGCTGGTCAAGAGGCAGATGAGGACTAACCCTTGCTGAGCCCTAAGTGTCACGTAGGGAGTCCTTTTTCCTCCCATTCCTAACCTTCCCCAGGATCAAGGCATGCTGGCTTTGGGCTGTGTGAGCCTGCTGAAAATAGAGGCCCAACCTGAAACTTGCTGAAGACCCTCAGCTGCTCCTCCCAGCCTCAAGCCTCGGGAGGAGCAAAATTCACGATGTGAAAAGAAAAGACGAGTGGATGAAGAGAAAATACTAATAACATGGGTCAGAGTCAATAGATTCTGGAGTCATTTGCTCCAGTGGGCAGCACTGGTCTACGCTAGCTAATCGTTTGGCCCAATAACCACACACTTATTTTGGGGCTTAGATCTTACTTGTGAATGATCAAGCTAAAGAGGACACATCCCCCCCTTCCAACTGGGTTATAAGACACTGCAGAGCTCTACAAAGAAACCCAGGTTGACAATGGGAACAGGCATGGCCTCAGCAGCTTTCAAGCTTTCTCAGTCCGGTTTTAGACTCACCTGTGCATCGTTGCAGGGTGGGGAGGGAAGGGGGATAAAAAAACTCTCTTTGTTTATCGGCTGCTTCCTGAATCATGCCATGGAAAGTCACTGAACAATGACAGGCAGGGGACATACTACTAGGGTAATATAAGAAAAGGGAAGATTTATCCTGGAGCAAAGAGCCCTACTCCCCCAGACGTATGCTCAGCTGCAAAGGCAGACAAAGGTGAGTTGCCAAAGCAAGTTAGGTTTCAATTTAAGATAGAAAATCTGAATCATGACCAGATTTCTGGACACAAAGCTGGGTGGGGGGAGAGGGAGGGGATTTTGGCTTATCTCGATACTACAGGGACCAAATGTCTCTGATTAAGTGTAGGCTCATTAGCCTCAGTGGACTTACACCAGAGACAGGTTTGTCAAATTAATGTAATACTCATTCCAAAGTAGGTATAGGGCAATGTGTAGACCCACAAAGAAAAAAAATACATTGGACACCTCTTTGGCGAGCAATGCCAAACACGTGGCCCCAAATGGTGCCAGCATTTGGCGAAGTGATGTTACCTGGAGAATGGGAACAAGCTGCTACCCTGTTACCTGTCAGCAGGCAGGGGGAATAGAAGTGCTATGCAGAAACTGGATCAGCTTTAGATTTGAAGCATACAAGGAAAAAAAAAAGCTGCTTTCAGGGGCTGGGGAGGAAAGGGAATGAAGGGAGAGTCAAGTGCAATTTGCACAATCCTAGCTGTTGCCAGCTGCTCTGGAAAGTTTCCTTTCCCCACCTCCCGACAGGTTTCTCGGTAATTTATGCTCTGCTAATAAACACCTGTCCCTTGTTTGATGTCACTTGTGCCAGGGGGGTCTCACCTGAGCACCTGAATTCCCCCGTGGATGGCCCTAGAGCTGAGCAAACAACTCTGTTCCAGGAAAACAAGTGGCACATTGATAATAGTGTCTATTGCAGGAAGCGGGTACAATACGCTGTCCTGAACTGCCCTGCTGCCACAGCAATAAAACTCCTGCAAGAACCAAAGCAGGCCGGCTCGGGGGGTAGCTCCCTCTTTCTTCGGGCCAGCAGGACTGTAGCGGTATACCGGAAGAAGAAAACACATTGCAAGCAAAAGAGTTCCCTTCCCTCTGCTTGCTTTGTACTCTGTATGGATAGGCTCAGCTGGAGATTTTTGCCTGACTTCATTCACCTGCCTGGTACATTTGGGGCACAAGAGTTTTAATATTAATGCAGAAGGGGGCAAAATGGATGTTTGATCAAGAGGATGGAGCCCAGGCGTGAAGAAGGCTGCCTTTTCCCAGGTTTCACTTGGGAGGTGTAAAGCTGGCAAAGATCAAGGTATAATTTCAAGAGCCATGGCTCACTTGTGCACAGTCCATTACTTGTATTATGGGAACATAAAGTTTACAACCCAGAGGCACAAGAAGGACTAAGGGCAGGGATGGAAAACTGTCTCATTCAAGGTCTCACAGGACTGTGGCATAGAGCTGGACTTGATCCAGTGCCCTATCCATTAGATTATGATGCCAGGCATGGTGCACAGCCCTGATCCCCCAGCCAGCAACTGTGCAACGATCGCTCACTCATGTTGCATGACTGCACCCTCGGAGAGATTGGGGGAGCACCATCTCTGCATGAATTGCCCCTGCGCCAACCCCTCCGCACTTCATCCATACAGACCTTGACTGCTGTAGTCTGTCACTCAGTCAGGATGGGGGGTACCTGGATGCTATTATGGCACCAATCAAGGTTCACTGCATTTAGCTACACATCTAGATTAGCTAAATAGCTACTTTTTCAGTTCACCTGGTTGGTCAGATGAGCGGTGAGATCATCAGAAGCAGCATCATAGTTGGCGCAGGTGAGCCGGACATAGCCATGCCCGAAAAACAGCACATAAGGCATCGTGCAGGCAATGAGGAGATAGGAACGGACATCAAACTTCTTCCCTTCAAGTAGCAGAGGCTTGTGGATATACCTGCCAGAGCAATGTGGCAAGATGAGACCTCAACAACAGAGCTCTAAAATGGGAAATTAAGGCTCACCCACATCCTCTACAACAGGGAGGTTGGCATTGCCTTTGGTGGGTTATGAATCAGACCTGAAAGGCCAAATGGGGACAGGGCTATTCGCAATTACCACTTCCTTATTCCAGAAATATTCCTGATGAAATCAGGGGCACTATTGGTGTGCACTGCTATTCAACAGGAGTACATTAAGAAACCCAAATGGAAGGGCATTTTCTGGAGACCCATTACTTACAACTACTTACAACTTCTATATTTCCTAGCACTTGTCCTGACAAGCGGATCTAGCACCTCATTCCAGACTCTGGCACACTCCCAGGGAAATCAAATGAGAGGGTGGTGCAAATGAGGAGTGCGCACTAGGTCCCTCAGCGTAGAAATAGCTTTGCCCCTTTGAAAAGCATGTCTGCTTTGAAAGTGAATGCATTTTAGCATAGCATCATTTTACTCAGTACAGGTCTACTGCCAGGGTATGCATCTGGTATTACAGCGCAACTGCTGACGTTACTGATAAGCAGAAGTGGTACCTTATTTTCATCTCAACCACAAGGAGCCATAACAAGGAGAGTGATCTAGATCCTTTTCTGACTCAAGCATCATTAAGAGAAGTGTCAACAAAGGAACCCGCTTGGCTTTTACATCTTGAGTTGAATTTGCAATGAAGGCAGGCAGCATCACCTCCTCCCCTCGTCCCCACTTCCTCTTATAAGCTGAAATAGAGCAGGGTGGTTAAAGAAGTGTATTGGGGCAGTTAAGCAAAGTTGTGGTTCATAGGAGACCCCCACGCTTTAATTTTCTTTCTGTGCCTTTCCCCCAGTTGCAAGAGTTTTTATTCCTGACGCCTGCAATCATTTACAGAAAGAGCACGATTCAGTCTCTCATTGCACTGACCGTTTTTGCAAAGTCTGGATTTTCCTGTGTTCCCCAAATAACTCTGTAGTGTAGCGGGAACAGCCTTACAGCTCCCCTGGGACAAATCTTGAGAAATTCTGAACATCAGAAAGTCCCATTAAGAAAAATAAGGGCTAAATGAAAGTAGAATCTAATTTGCTCAGACTTCCCTGAACTAAGTGCTCCTGCAGTTCTTAAGGGTGCCAAAGTACAATGCTGGGCAACGGGAAAATATCACAGACTGACTGTGTTCAGCACAGGCCACTGAATCACCTCTAAATGGAGCAATGCTGTAACCATCATCGCTGCTTTTTCAACCTCCCTCCCTCCCTGCTTCTGCTGTAGCACTCAGGGCAGCTCACAAAAGGGGAATTTAAGACAGCAGGTAATACTAGATCATTTCCTTGCATCCTGGTTCTGCTGTTGGATGCTGCCGATACATTGCAGAAAGCAGAGGAGCAAATATTAAATTTCTTGACACGTTCAGATAAATCAAATCACCCTCCACCCATTAGGTGCTGAGCTCTGCAGTCCACGATGGGCCTGCCAGTTGGTTTGCAGACACCCTGGGCGCAATGCACATCACAAAGCAAATCTATTTGTCTCTTCTGTTCGAACATGATGCGTCTTCGGAGACAAGTGACAGCAGAGGGCACTCTTTGGAAAGCAAAGTGAAATGCAAGGAGGAGAAGGCAGATGTCAAAGAAGAATAAAAGCTTTTGCCACATCCCAGCAGTCAGGGGGAATTAGAAGTTTACTTGTCGTTGCTACAGAGCAGACAAAGCGTATGTGTGAACACAGAGAACCCGTCATACTCTGCCCCTGGCAGTGACTTCCTGAGAAACATCATGGTGCAACATGATGTCCTCCCTTTTCACTGCAGGTACTTAGATGCTTTTGTGAATAATGGTACCCAGTTATAATATAATGGTGGACAATAGCAATATTTTTGGAAGTGCTAATAAAGCTTGGACTTCAGGGTTGAAGCCGATATCTAGGTTTTGGAGATCAGGATGGGACCCAGTAGAGGGGGAAGATTATCTCTTGCATGGTCTAAATAATGGCTTGACTTGGCCTGGAAGGTTTCTGGAAAGGGGGGGAATTTTGTGCATTGTTTTCCTTTTGCGATAGAGCTGCCAAGTCGTAATATCTAAGTGTTGGAGTGGTGAACCAATCCTGTTGTGGGCATATGCACAGATCATCATTTTTGGACCACACTGATGTCCCTTTGGGCTGCGCTGGTGATGCCATGAGTGGATTGCACCATGATAACCACCTGGCATATATCACTGATATTGTAATCATACTATGTCCTGCCGTGAGGATGTGGCATTGAGTATTGAGATGCTTGGAGTACCTTGCAAGTCTGACTGATTTCTGCCTGTTGTTTGTCCTAGGGTCGTTATCAACCTGGATTTCTGTTTGGGTCTTTCCATGCCTTGTGTTCCCACATAGCCTAGACACTCTTGGGTCGAGAGCCTGTCTTGCTACTGCTGCTGCTTTGTGCTGTTGGTGGGGTCTATTCTGCACATCAGCTCTGAAAACCTCTGCAGTCTAGCTTCACTCTGCCCCCTCTGTGGTCAATGGTGTAAAGCATTTGGGGATGTGGCCAGTGAGGAAGATGCTATAGAGTCTTGCTGCATGACCCTGATGTAGGGCATTTGCAAAAACTTCAGAGGAAAAAAGCAAAGGCAGTGGGTAGTTGGTAAACATCTAGGATTTGCCCTAAAACCTGGTGGCTGTGAAATTCTTAGGAAAAAATGCCATGTGACCAGGCAGACTTCAACAGATATACTGGAGGCCTAGACTGGCCTAGCCTGGGTGGAACAGATGCTACAGCTGTATGACATGTAAAAACTTGGCACAGCATAAGAAGCTGGGATAATACCTCATTCAAATGGCTCTGCACAATGCTTTTGTCATGCATGCAGCTTACGGCATCTGGTCTTTTGAAGTCATTCTCAAATTTCCAGACAGAGATCATCTCAAATCTCCTTTTTGATGGAGAAGGTCTGTTTGGAAATGACAGACGTGGGGGCATTGTGATGCTACCCTAAGAAATACCCCCTGCATAGGAAATGTGAGAAGTTGCAAGCCATTGAGAAGATGTGGTAAGAACCACACTAAATGGCTGTGAAAGGCTTCAGGATAGTAACACCAATAGGGTCTGATCAAATTCACATGGAGATCCATGAGTGCTTTTCCACTGAATTCAGAAACAAGCCTAGAGCCATGATCTCCAGTAGGTCTGTGCTTGGAGAGATGCCTAATTCTCATGGCAATGGATGACATGGGGTACAGACAGCTAAACCAGAAGTGGTTCCCTTACAGAAGCCAGTCAGAGCCTGAATCAACAAGGCTGGAAAAGAAAATGAGAAACGGGGCTCTGGATTTGACCAAGAGAAGTGCTTTCCCCAGGATGGTGCAGACTCCAGCAGAGAACCCAGTTCTCCGCATCTCCTGTTCTGCACCATGATCATGAGAAAACATGTCTTCCCTATGGCTTGCAGATCAAGGCAACAGCGCGTCCGCACACCTCGTTCTCTACCTTTGCACTATTCTTGCCTGGGGAGCCTTGTACGGCACTTTCTTGTAGGTGGGATCCTCCTCAAAGCCCTGCAGCTTGGCCTGAAGTGAGTCAATGCTCTCTTGGTTCATAAGCAGGAAGATGCCTCGACCTTGGTTGGAGCACGCTGGCTTGCAGATCCAGATCTGTTTGTCTGCGGAAAAGAAAGAGTCTATTGTATTGAGCTTTGAAATGCAGTGGTGTAACTGGGGGAGCGGTGGGGAGCAGTAGGGGCAAGTGCCCTGGGTGCCAACTTAGTGGGGGAAGTAAAACAAAAAACAAAAAAAACAGCACCCATTTTTCTACACTGCTTTAATATGCTTTCTTGGATATTCATCTAAATGTTGTCTACCCCAATTAGCGAAGGGATCTGGGGCTGTGAATACTCCCCAGTGTTAGCGTCACTTGAGAGAGGGAGCTGGAAGTGAATTTTGCTACTTGGGCCACTTCTCATAATACAGCTGAGACAACCTATTGATAAACTCATTAGATTACATTAGCTTAATGTAATGCTACATGCACTAAATGAGGGGGTTACATTTGTGGCTACTGGATTGTGGGTGATCTCTCATAGTGTTGGGCTCTGGGTTCAAGCCACAAATTCAGTACTGGTCTAAACAACCAGCAGCTGAGAATATCAAGGAAATAGCATTGCCCACTTTCAGGAAACCTGCCCTCAGTTGCACCCATTTCCTTCTTACATTACTAACTTCAGTGAATAGAGAATACGCCCTGAAGGGAGTTCTGCTTCCAGCCGCAGGGTCATGGGGCCTATGCATATGTATGCAGCAGGCCTCCAGGATGCATTGGGTGGGTGGAGAAGCAAGCAAGCAGCCGACCAGACATGCTAACGAGGATAATCAAGGAAGCCACTGAGGACATAAGTAGGTGGGAAGCCTGGGTCTGACAGTCAGAGTCCCAAGATGCAAGTCAGTCTCCAGGATCTGGCCAGCAACCTGAAGTTAGACTCTGTGTTCAGTGAAAAATATCCTCCGAGTCAGAGAAACTGGGGATAAGCAAGTCATGATCTCTAAATGGCCCAAACATCAGGAGTGCTGGCATTTGGAAGAATATCCCGTAGGTCACTGGGTTGTTGGCTGTGAGTCTCCCTATGCCTGATGAAGCCTGTGTCCAAAAGCTTGCAAAGAACTTTTTTTCCAACCATTTAGTTGGTCTAATAAAAGATATCACATCTACCCAAAGAACCTTGCCTGCCATAGGTCACGGATATTCACAGGGACTCATGAGTTCGCTATTCAGGCTCCAGTCAGAACAGAACAGAAACTGGACTATCTGCAGGGCGTTTTCTCCCTGCGGAGTTGGGGGCAGTTTGGAGAGGTACAGGGGCACCCTGACAATGCACCAGTGATGTCAAGGACTCCAGCGGAAGGCATGGGATCTGGGGAGCAAAAGGGCCAGGGAAGCTCTGGTAATGCACATTTGCTCTTGGGAATCACCCTGATAGCTAAATTGAAGTCTTATTTCCAGCATGAGGTCTCTTGTCTTCCTCACTGGCTGCTCACAGGGCCAAGGCTACTCACCTTTGTAGGCTTCAAAGAAGGCTTCTCTCTCATCCTTTATGTCCAGCCGATAGGATTCTGGAAAAAAATCTTCCATCTTCAGGATCCTGTGGGAGAAATGGGGGTAAGTCACAAACCCGTGTGAGCCCCCCATCTCCATTTTCATTCTTCTTAGGGAAGAGATAGGAAGGACGCTGATGCACCTGTGCAGAACTTTGGATTATGGCTTTTTCTACTTCTATTTCCCTTTTGCAGTTGCATTCCCCGGTGTTCTTGCTCCTAAGAACTGTCTTCCTTCTCTGCTGAAGGAAAAACCTGAGTCTAAACTCCAGACTCTAAATCCCTCCAAATTTTAGTGAAATGTAGCCTATTATGTGCAATCAAGTGCACTGCCATGGACCTGGAGCCCCAGGAGGACTTTTCCAGGGGGGCTGATCTAGACTGGCCGACATGGCGATGTCTGAATCGCCTGTGGATGCAAACTGGAAGATCAAAACCAAACACAATCAAATGGGGCTACTCTAATGACACAAATATTTGTGAATGTGATGAAGCACAGACTATGGAGCACCTGTTGGTTTGCTGACCTGTACCAAGGAGGACCTTGCTGCAGCACTGGAAAGAGCCTCTGCTGGTGCAAAATTCTGGAAAAAAACATCTAGTTTGTGACAAGGACATGAGACGTAGAAGAAAAAGAAGTGAAGTTTAAATCTGGGTCTGAACTCAGAGCCCCTCTAGAAGCATATTATCCTGGGTTTCCTCTGGCTTTGGGGCAATGGTGAATAAATGTTTTCTATATTTTATCAGTGGCAGGGGAGGGATGAGCAAAACTATCACATGGGATAGATTCATGTTGTGGAAAAAGCCGTCTCTGGGGCTCGGGGTAGAGCATGTGCTACTGCAGGACCAACTATTTCCTTAAGCTCTAGAGTATTTCTGTTGGCCTCGATGATGGCTCTATATGCTAGGTTTGCTGTACACTGAGGGTGTTTCAGGTAACCATGGCAGAGGGGTTTTTTGATAGATCGGATAGCCCAGGAGCAGAGGTGATAATGTGCTGTTGTCTGATATCTACCCAGTGCTCCACAGCTTCCAGACTTCCCATCTCATCTTTCACCTGCAGCACGTGAGGGGGTTACGGCAACGGGTACCTTGGGGGTCGTGTGTTTCTAGAGCCCCAGGGACATACAAAAGAAGGGTTGGTTGGTTTTTTTCCCTAACTCCCTCCTTTGAGGCTCAGGAACAAAAATAATTTAAGAAATGAAGAAAGAAGTGCCTTTTTGTTGTCTCCCTTTTCATACCCAAAGAGATTGAGCTCACAGAGCAGGGGGGAAAGTGGTTTCTAGCACAGCTGCAAGCAAAGACAGCAAAATGCATGCTCCTTTTTTTTTTTTAGGAGAAGGAACAACTGAGCCCACAAAATTGCAGACCAAAGTAAGGCCCAGTAAAACATGTATCTCTGAACATCTAGGGCAGGTTAGATCAGATGAGGTGAAGCAGAGGATCTGAACCAAGCAATCGAATTGCTGCTGAGTGCAAGAAGCGGACTACTTTGTTCTGTTCAAAGTCACCATGGGCCTGGTCCAGGACTTGCTGCAGTTGGTAGAAAGGCCCTCCTTGCCGCCATTGAACTTGGGATCAGAGCGTTGAGTTTAAAAGCAGAGTAAAAGGAAGCAACAGGGAAGAAAGATCAAAGATTAAAGAACCTGAGAAAAGAGAAGATGAGTGAAGAGAAACCACACTAAACACTAGATATGATTGTGCTGGGTTACTTGGCAGGATATGCCCCATGATTACCACGCTACCTAGTGAAACCAAGGCTAAATGCAATGGCTTGGATAGCTTTTCAGCCAGTTCTTGCGTTATCCATCCTCAGGGGAGTTGTACACCCTGGGCTGAATCACTCGCTTAATGATTTTGAAATGTGATAAGAAAAAGCAGAGAAGTTTCATTAGAGCATAATCCACATGCCTGAGGAGGACAGAGAGAACACCGAATCATGGCAAATAGGAGGAAGGAGTTGTTTTAGCCAAAAAATAATGGATGATCCAAGAATTCCTGTGGGAGCTCTCCCAAGCCCAGCTCTAATGTTTGGGTGACCCCCAACCAGAGCGGTAGCTGTTTGTCCAGCCAGGTCATGCTTAGGGTACCCCTTTCAATTAGTATAGGTTTCTAATATGGCCACATCTGATGGGATGGAGAGGCCTTACTTGGTGTTCAAGGTCTTGCTGATTTTGCTCATCACCCGCTCATACTCCCGCAGGCTGCACAGAAGGCCAATTTTGGTAGTAAGGACTTTATTGTTGGGGATCTGGTAGAGAAGCTGTTCACCTGTATTAAAAACAATAAACCCTCTCTTTAATGGATTGCACAGCACAGTCTGGGTCTGCTAAAAGAAACCTAGGGAGGGGGCCCTGGGCCATTGAGTTGAGCCCTCTGTGTTTATTCCCAGGCTATCATTAACCAAATCACCACTTTGGACTCCCAACACAACAAAGGACTTATCAAGGAGCTGAAAGGAGGAGGTAGGAAACCATCAGCTGAACATGAGCACCTACTCCCCCTCTTTCAAAACTCCTACCATCCTTCTGAATGAACAGGGCAAACACATTAGGAAGTCCCAGCTTAGCTCTTCTCTGCCTCAGTTCCCTGTTGCTAAAACCGTTGTGTAAACACTACGCAGCAAAACGAAAAATGTTGTTACCCTGAAATACCTATATATGAAATAGCTTGCAGACTGTCTTTGGACTATGCCGAATCCATCCCAAAACAGCTGGTCTTGGAGTATTTGCAGCCATATATACACATTGCCAACAGCCACACATCACTTGATCATTTCAACGATCCGTGTATTGGGCCATGCATGTAAGAAACGGGCAGGAGGTACCATGAAGTCTAGATGTACGGCATGGCTCAGTCATTTGGTGTCATGTACTATTAAGCTGGGTTGCAATTTTATGGCTAAGAGCAGAAGTTGCCCGTGACAGCACAACCCAGACGCTGCCTCCGTCTCTCTTCACGTACACAACCGGCCTCATCTTGCTATCTGAGCCAGTATAGTGGCATCTTCTCGACTTGCCCATTTAAACCAGCTTACCCTCGTCTGAGTTCACCTCTGTGTGTGTTGCCCCTCTCTACCCTCCTGCAAAGATGCCCAGGCTGTTGCCCAGCGGGAGAACGGATCTTCTCCTTATGGCCTCTCTGAGTCACCACTTCCCTTACAGCCCATTTCGACCTCTTTACCTTCTCTGAAGTTGTAATAGGTCTCCCGACACTTGGTCTCGCACCACTTCAGTTTGTAATCCTCCCTCTTGTTGTCATAGATACGCTGCCAGCCCTTGCTCCTGCAGTAGATGCTCACCCTACAAGGAAAACAAAAAAGCAAAGCAGCTTCTGCTGTTAATGAAGACTTAATTAGCTCAGAGGCCTTAAATTCCCCAAGAGTCTCTTGGAGGGCTGACTCAACAACACCTAGAAGCCTCGAGGTGAAGAGAGAAGGAGGGAAACAATTTCTCTCCCTCCTCTCTAGTTAATTAGAGTGTATGCTGGAGGGATTGTCACTTCACACTTAGCAAGTGGGGCGGTACCATGGTTCCTGGGAAGTAACAGCCTCTTTAATGAAGGCTGATATATCAAATAGGGTTATTGTAGTGGTGGAAGTGGTCCTCACGGGATCCTGGATTCCTTTGCACAGTGCCAGGCTTGGCCAGAAACCTACCAAAGACCTCAAAAAGAGGGGATGAAGTTGTCACGGGATGTACAGACACGTGGCTGTAAATAACAGGTTTCCCTTGCTTTATGCGGGTTGTGTATGTGCGAATTCAATCTTATGCGATGACCCTTTTTATACCAAAAATTTGTTCTATGCAAGGTAAATTCACTTATGTGATCGGTGGGGTGGAAGCCGACAATCAGCTGCTTTGTGCACTGCATTGATGCCATAGGTGGGGGAAGAAAAAATTATTTGGTGGGGGGCTGCGGTGGGTGGTGGTGCCCGGGCCCGTCAGAACGACACCCCGGGAGCTGTGAGCCATGAAGCCTCCTGGCAGCAGCACCCACGGCCACTGCTCAAAGCAGCGGGTGCCCCAGGAGCGCCACGGCGCCACATCGGTACAGTCGAGGGGGTCAGTACAGTCAAGATCTTGGAACGTATCTCTATTTGTTACATTGTAAAGTGGGTTCCCTCTATGCCAATTCGAGTTATGCGCCGTTTTGCAGGACCACACGTACAACATAAAGCGAGGGAAACCTGTAGAGTGAGCTGGCATCTTGGTAGTTAGGGGGAAAATCAGTAAATATGAAGCCTGGTACATCCCCACCGCCAGAGTTTGCATCTAGACTATGTAAGGTTCTTAGGTTCGTGTGTCAAAGCAGATCTTGGTAGATGAAAAAGGTTTCAGAAAACAGGTTACAGGAATGATGTGACGGCTGGGGGAAAAATGCCTTCAAGGCAAAGATTTAAAAAGTTCAGTCGGTTATGGTCTGTGTGTTTGTAGATCATCTAAAATAACAAGGCCTGGTTCCCTAGGCACCATAAATAAATAGGGATGATGAAGTTTATTAAAGACAATGTTGAGCAATGGTTTCGCTACAGTTTGCCAATACCCACCTACAGAACAGACCACTGCTAACAACAGATGGCTCTTGAAGTTAGCAGGAAAAAACAGATAATGAATGGGGGGGAACTATACTTTTCAGAGGCTTTCCCAAAAGCCAGATGACACCAGCTGTGTTGTGCAGGAGCTCATGTTATGCAGTGCTGATTGGTTAAAACCAGGGTTGCTGCGGGGCACCGACCCTGCTTGGCTCTGGGTGATTTCTGAACAACACAACAGGATTTGGAGGCTGGAAGTTAAAGCCAGGCAGAGCCAGAAAAGAATAAATGACTATTTCCTTAGCAGTGAAAGCAATATTTACAGGACATCCAGGAAGAACGTGTCCTAAACAGGAGGTCAGAGGATTGTAGTTGAAGTACCATAGGAAAAGAACTACTTACAACCCTGCTCCATTAGCACCACCAATGTAAAAGAATGGCCCCGGTCTCTGAGGCTCTGGCTTCCTCTCTTCTGGCTCATCTGCTTCAGTGGCTGTCTTCTCATTTCCTTTATTCCCTTTACACTTGGCTTCATCCACCAGCCTCACTTCAGATGTATTGGAAGCAACTGCAAGAATTGGAATTGGGGAGATTTCAGCCAACCTGAAGAGGACTTCTCTAATGAAGTCATGCCACCTCCACTGCGGGGAAGCTGGAAATGGCAAAGACTTTGTGCAATGTGATGCCACTTAATCTGTATAGCACAGTTTCCAGATAGAGGAGGCATCGGAGATTCTTCTGAGGGCAGATACTTGGGTGTAATAACAGCACTGGGATAGGATGGACATGTACCGGAAAAATGTGCAAAGACATCTTTGCTGGTCTGTTTTAAGTATGGTGCTTAGCCAGGGCCCAGCGTGAAACAGAGGCAGGACTTGGTTGCAATTAAAGCACTGGGCTGAAATTCAAGAGAATGGCATCGCTACAGACTCCTTGGGCGATTTTACTTCACCTCTGTGCCCCAGGTCCGTATCTGCCTATGGGGATAAGAACAGAGCTGGAAGGTACCTCAAGGAGGTCACCAATCTCCT